CTCGTGTGGAGACAGTCTAGAACCTGCCTTATTTATGGAGCCTACACTGGCCGGCCCAGCTTCAGCTGCCTCCCTGTGCTCTGGCCTGCTGCACGGAGTACTCTGGGGCTCTCCATGTCAATACTCACAGGCTCAACCTTAGCATCTAAACTCTCTTACAAGTGCCCAACGTTTAGGCCTTGTCTCACAGGGCATTCTTCCTGTTTGTTCCATGTTCTTGAAGGACAGAATTTACCTGGGATTGCTACCTGCAGTGGACAATGATGGACAGCATCACTTCCAGCAACGTAACCACACCGAGTGGTTATTTGGTGAATACTCTTTATTAAGTGGGTGAATAGATTCAGGAAATTCCTGAGGGCAGGGTCCCACGGCTGATTTCATAGGAGTCAGTCCACCTAAGAGCTCAGTGAGCATCTGGTGACTGAACAATCAAGGGGTATGTATGAGTGGCAGGCGGCATGCTGGGCTCTGAGCCAGGACACCTGGATTGTCTAGACTTGCTTTGGGATCACTGACTGCTTGCTGCATCTCATCAAGCCTCTGTGTTGTCATCTATGATAAGAAAATAGGCTGAGTCAAGGGAGCCAGATAGGAACATATAGAACACTTGCATGAATACAAAATCTCAAAAATGCCAATCTACAGCAGCAGAAAGCAGGGAGGAAGGGAGGAATCACAAAGTGGGCTCCACTGACCTCTTAGAGGGAGGGCGACTCTCGTCCCTACTGTGGTGATGGCACCACAGGTGTATACACACACCAGGAAGCACCAGGCTGCATGCTTTAAATCTGGCGTGCATCATGTTACGTCGCTGAATCCCTAAGGATAAAAGGAAAGCGAACAAACACGTGCATGTTTTGCCACTGGTCTTGAAGACCTGGGTAAGGACCAAAGGAAATGACATGAGGTGCTTTGCAGGCTGCGTGGGCTGCACGTGTGCTCTTGCATGGAACTCATGGTGCCCTGCTCCAAAGCAGCTCACAGTGTAAGGGCTCAGCAGAGACTTCTTAAATTTTTTTTATTTTGCAAATTTCACATGCAAGTACGATCCTTACATTACTTTTATTCCTCCTCCTCCTCCTCCTCCTCCTCCTCCTCCTCCTCCTCCTCCTCCTCCTCCTCCTCCTCCTCCTCCTCCTCCTCCTCCTCCTCCTCCTCCTCCTCCTCCTCCTCCCATGTTCCCACTCTCTCTCAAGTTCATGACCGCTTCTGTAATCATTATTATATAAATATAATCTATATAATCTACAAAGTCTATTTAGTGTTTAGGGCTGTTCACTCGATCCTGAATATTCTATAAAGGAGCTTATCCCCTGAGAAAACGGATTCTCCCTCTCCCGGAAGCTGGTGCTTTACTGCCTATTGCTCTTTATCAAGGGGTGGGGTCTTCTGAAAATTTCCCCATCCACGATGGCATGTCGACCGGTGTGGTCTGCATGCAGATCTTATTTAGGCTGTCCTATTGTTGGAATGCTATAAACTTTGTTGGGTCTAGAAGACACCGTCTTGATAGTTGGCTTGGATCAGCAAATACTTAATACAAGAGGGGTTGCTGGGACCCTGGGCTGACTGTGGTTTCTGGACCCCTGGAGGAGGGTTGCTCCTCTGAGGAGTGGGCAGTGAGGATGTCACCCTAAGTCAGGAATGTCTGAAATGTTAAAGCAACCTCTGGTCACAGCAGGCTGGCCCTCCTCTGCCTCGTGGTTATTCATAGGAACTGAGGTTTGTTTTGTTTCTTTCTCTGGATTCATAGCCTGAGGGGGATCATTCTGTGGGTGGGGAAAGGGTCCCCAGGGAGGGCAGAGCTGAGGATATTTGGAGCAGTTTCCACTGTCATGCTTGTTGGTGTGAGACTCCCCATGACATCTTACAAACAGTAGTCTTGGCTCCTTTTCCCTGGGCCCTCCAAAGCCTCAGTAGAACTGCTCTGACTCCAAGCAGAGCTTTTCCTTCTGGTTGAAGGGATCGTAATGTCTGACTCCTCTCAATCTGTGTGCTTGTATGGAACAGTGCTGACCGTGTTCAGTGTGCAGATGGATCTCCTTCCCCGAGGTGGTGGCAGGGCACGTTTACTGTGCTTCCTCCTTCTGGGCCACCACGCGTGCAGGCCGCTCTTCTAACCTTGCCTGAAGGGAAAGTTTTCCTGGAGGGGGACAGGTGGGGACACTTCTGTCTTCCTGAGCACTCTCGAGAAGTTTGGCTCTACTTTCCAGGGCACAGTACTATGGGTTCATGTTTTCTTTCCAGAGGGTGGTCTTGTTTGTATCCCACAGCTTGTAGCACTCAGTCGAGCCCACTCACTGTCCTAGGGCATCGCGATGCAACATCTTACTGCTCCTTCCCCGAGTCAGACAGACTTGCTGTATGGCCCGAGGCACATCTACTTCCTAAAAAGTCTGTCTGATCTATTTCCACAGCTTTTGTGCAGATCGTAGTGTTCCCAGCTACCCCTGTACTCTATAACACTTCTGGAGTTGTGGTCTAGGCATAGATGTTGATGAGTCTTTGTGGTGTGATCGTCTCTGTCGTGACCAAACCTGGAACTTCCTGCATGAGCCACCACAGGCTTCTTCTAGAACAGTCACACAGATGTCTGTGGCTGGTGCTGGGGCTGCAGGTCTAACTTGGCAAGGTCACTGAGCTGTATTAAGCAGATGGGGTCTGGAGCCCATTTCTTGGCCTTTCCACACGGGTTGTCTTTGGTTGCCTAGTAACGCAATACCTCCTCCACAGTCAGGTAAGGCAGCAGCTGTCAGGGAGTCTGACAATGCCTGCAAGAAGTCATCCACAAAGACAGCTGTGTATACTGTGCCCCAGGACCCCAGGCCCCAGAGAGAGGCAGCACACAGATGTCTGTCGCTGACAAGGTCAGATGTTTCATGGCTGTGGGTGGAGGGGACCAGGGAGTCCCCAGGCAGGACTATCTTGGAGTGGGTTTTCATTATCTTGGGGAGTTTTGAGTGGAAGATTGCTTAAAAAGGAGGTAGAAGACTGACTGAGGTGCTGCTTCGACTGGACAGGAGAGGGCGCTGTTGTCTTGCTGGAAGCAATTCCTGACCTCTGTGATCTTCATCGTTAATCTTCCTCTTTCATCTTCTGCAGCCATCTAGGTGCGGGTCTTGCTGATCCTCTCCAGGCTGGCTCTGCAGACTGTCCCTTTCTTTTCTGGAGACAAACACTGTCATACTGGGTGACTGTGAGCTCAGGCTCAAGGGAGCTCTCAGTTGCGGTGTGACTCTTGCTCCTGCATTGTCCTCTTGCTGCCTGTTGCCTTGGGTTCCACAGACCTAAGGCGACTTTCTTGCTCCCTGCCTCAGGAGTTGGTGGAGAGGCAGTTGTGTTACACAGGCACAAATCACACACACTGCGTGTGTTATGGGAGCACAAATCACAGAGCATCTGTGTGTGTCAGCTGGTCAGAGGTCGGGGTCAGGGTGAGATTGATCCTTTCTCCTTTCCCTCTCTTGGCACCGTGTTCTGCACTTACTGGTGCAGTGGCAGAGCCCTTCCTGAGGCTGCCTGTGATAAATGTGACCATCGGGGAGGAGGAGGCCACAGACTCAGACTCCTGTGACCCGATCTCTATTCCCCTGGGCTATGATGAGACTGTCTTCTCCTGTCCCGCCACAGTGGATGAGGCGATTGCTCTGGGTGCCTACACTTAGGCTGACAAATCATATCAAGTCCACACATGGTTGGACCCCGGCTGTGTCTGCTGTCATAGGCAGGAATCCTAATCTTCATTTAGCACAGGGAGACACTGAGGTACAGTGTGTGACTAGTCCATGATAGGAAGCTATGACTCACACCTGGGTGTTCTAATTCCAAACTCAACACCCTTCCTATGATTCTCTAGTTCCACAATAGTGGACCCACTGGCATGGGTGAGGCTCACGTGGGTTCATTCACTCTGCCTGGGAACACTCTCTCTCTCTTTCTCTCTCTCTCTCCTCTCTCTCTCTCTCTCTCTCTCTCTCACACACACACACACACACAGAACATGCACACACATGTATGCATAGAACTACTTATGCCACACATGTGCCTTCTTGTGCACGTACTCATAGGCATAAATACACCACATATATAATTACCAAGACATCTGAGAAAATCTGCAGATACACATGGGCAGACTCTCACACCACCCACACTGCACAGATGTTTCTATTCCAGGGGTGCCTGACCCCTTTCTCCAGTCTAATCATTTTGCCTCTTGGGAGAGGAGCATGTTGTGTTGCTTGGAGCAATTGCAAAAGACAAGGAGGATCGGAGGGGGCTCAGATGGCTGGTCACATGGCTCTCTGCCTTCTGAGAGTGGCGATGGGCACGGCGTGGGCAGCGTGTCTCTCTCCCTGTGAGGACTGCTCAAGGACAAAGCTATCTTTCTAAAGGGATGGGAGATGCAGGCAAGAGCTCTTTCATTTAAACCCTGTGCAGCAGCAGCAATGCTGAAAAGAACGAGCCCAGGATAATCATGCCAGCAGCAATGTGAGCCTTACAGTTTAGTACTGGTAACTGTAGTGACTGGAATCTCCTGGTCTTGGGGAAGATAACTTTGCTCTGAGAGTCTGCTAGAGGGGGGGAAGGTCTCCTGGACCCTTTTCTCTGGACTCCTGGTTTTGTGTATTAAGAGACATATTGCCTCCCCGTTTGCTTGGGAGAGAAGGGTGCATCTACCTCTAAGGTGACAGGTGCAGGTTCAAGATGCCAGGGGGAACACGGGGAGGCCTTGGGCTTGAGATACTGCAGGTCTTCTTTGCTGGTGCTAGAAGCTGGGGGGGGGGGGGGGGCTGGCTCATTGGAGCCTACATCTCCACTGAGGCAGTTTCTGTTTAACTCAGTGACCAAAATAACTGTGGGCTGTCTGTCTGTCGAGTTCGCGTGTCGGCTACACCTCAACAAGCTCTTGGGAAGGGGTAAAGCCAGAAGGGACCCTGCAGAGAACTGAGGCAGAGCCCAGCACTGTCTACACACTAACACCTCTTGACTTCAAACAGGTCCCCGTTCAGACTCTGTATCCAGTTGTTTGTCCTCTCAGGGGTTTAGATAAGCCGCAAGAAAACTTTCAGCTGCTCACCCTACTTAGCTGCCTCAGGTAGGACAGGACAGGTAAGTGAGGTGGGGGTGACATTCCTGTCAAACTTCTCCTGCCTACCTCCTCCCCCACCAAATGTGAAGCTGTTTCTAGCTATTCCCAAAGAATGCAAGAAAGAATATTTCTAGGAGAAATTATAGCACTGGGGACATGTCTATTCTACTCTCTACTCCTGCCTCCCTTGTCATGAGCCGGTGATTTCACAAAGCCATTTTTGTCCATTGGAAAGGAAGCATGTCCATGGACTCCAGGGATACGAGCCCCGGTTTGGTCTCTGCCTCTTGTTAGCTGTGCAACACCAGGGAAGTCACCTGAGCTCTCTGCATTCTTTCTTTGCTGTTAATAAACACCTGCCTGCCCACTTGGGACCCCTTGATCTGTGTTGACAGACAGACAAAGTAGACTTGCCATCTCGGTCAGATTTGTCCAGGTATGAAGAGTCCGGAGGAATTAAGACGCAAGAAGCCAGCTACTTCTCCACCCTTCAACTCTGGTGTCCCATGCAGGTTTGTACAAATTCACAACTTCTAGAAAAATTTTTATAAATTTTTTTATATTCTTGTTTTCATTTTGAACTACACAGCAAGCAGACCTGGGATAGGAAGACTGTTATTATTGTTATTATCATTTATAGATGAGGGCGCTATTCTCTAATATACTTACTACCCATCTAGAGTGGCTAGGGTAGTAGGGGGTGTGGCAGGGACCAGACTGTCCTGTGTTTGCATCTGAGCCTAGTACTTGCCAGTGCTGCTAGGTAGCCTACACCAAGGTTAGGGTGGGTCCTTTCATCTTTCCTGATCTGGCAGCTTGTTGCAATTCATTATGAGTAAATTAACCTATCACCACCCCATACCCCTTCCTTCCTTCATCGCCCTATGAGGCAGTTTGCTTAGCATTGTGGTCACACGCATGGATTCTGAAGTCAGCCAGCAGCTCTAGTTCTGTGAACAGCTGGTCCTGTGGCCTTGTGCAGGCTGCTTCATCTCTGAACTTCTTCCTCTCTGTGATGGGGAGGCTACTAACGTGAATTATTAGAACAACTCTGGTGTAGGAGGTCCTTCTGTTTATGTGTTGCTTTCATTAGTTGAATAAAGAAACTGCCTTTGCCTTTTGATAGGGCAGAACTTAGGTAGGCATGGAGAAGACAGAACTGAATGCTGGGAAGAAGGGCAGAGAGGGAGACACCATGGATTTCCTGCCTGAGATGGACACTGGTTAGAATCTTACCAGTAAGCCACAGTCACGTACACAACTCTGGACACATGACAGGTATTATGTAAAAGTTGGCTGTAGTATTCATTGGAGGCAGGGCCTTGCTGCCTTGGCCTACTTATTTATAGAATCCTTATTATCATTGTTTATTATTATTATTATTATCATCATCATCATCACCACCATCATCATCATTTGATACAGGGTCTGGCCATGTAGCCTAGGTTGAACTTAAACTTGAAATCCTCCTGCCTCTGTCAAAAGTGTGTTCCCATTTCCCAGTTGTTGGCTTGGTTTTGGGAGTACTCCTAGGGCTGTCCCTTGCTCCTGTGATGGCCTGAGCTCACTGTGTCTTTCCCTTCTCCTAAGGAATGCCCTAGTCCACTACTCCGGAACAGGCTTCTTCTCACCCGCCATCTCACTCTGCCATTTTCAAAGTCTTTTATACCTGCCTTCATGATGCCTCCTGTTTGATCCTCCATGCTCCCTTTCTTACCATGACCTGTTCAGACATTACTTTTCATCTAGAGGTCTGCTGTGGGCTCCTCAAGACTTTCTGCCCCTCCTATGAACTACCAGGGCACTCCTCCTCACAGCTGGCATGGATCCTGGCATCCCAGGTCGAGCTCTGAAGGGGACTCCATCTGCATGTGCCTCTGTCTCCCGTGCTGTGGTGGGACCTGGAGTCAGTTCTAGCTGTGTGGACACATGCGACATCTATCAAGGGGCAGAGGGGAGAAATGAACTTGGCTCTTGCTCCACTGGGCAACAGCCAGTCTTCTCACCCAATCCTTTGTTTCCCTTTCTCTGCATAGGTGACCCAGGACCAGGCCAGCAAGACCTGTGTCCTCATGTTGACACTGGATGCAACATGCCAAATGCTGCCATCTCCTTTTTTTGTAAGAACTTCCAAGCTTTTCTACAGCTGCGTTTCAAAACTATTTCTCCTCTCTCTTTCTTCTTCCTCCCCCCCCTTCCCCCCCTCCTCCTCCTTTTAAGACAGGCTTTCTCTATGTAGCCCAGTCTGGCCTGGAACTCACAATGTCCTTGCCTCAACTCTCTTGTGTTGGAATTATAGGTGCAGGCCACCATAGCTGGCTGTTCTCAAGATTTCTTAAGCTGTGTGACTTTGGGATAGTTACTTCCTCTCTTTTCTTTTAAATCTCCTAATCAGTAAAGCAGGCACAGTAACAATGTTTGCAGAGAGATTTGGGAGACGGATTCATATCCTTGTATCACCCCAGGCCTAGAACAAGATGTCATCTCAAACACAGAAGAAACGCTGAAAGAAAATACTTGTTGAACAATTCATTGCTTGGGACACAAAACCACCATTTAGAGAACAAAGCTTCTATAGTAGAATTGTAGGACCTCTGCCTATGGCAGTGGGGTGGACGGAGGGAGTCGTCAGCATGTGTCTGGCAGAACACACTGGAGTTAGTGTCTACTTGGATAAAGTTCTCCCTCTAGCTCCTAGGTCTGCTCTTTTGTTGTCTTGCATGTGGAGCACCGAATAGGGAGCTTATGGAGGGTTTTCTTGGGGGGGAGGATCCTTAAGCCCCAATAGGACTCGAGAATTTCTGAAGCAAAATTGCACAGTGGGTGAGGATGTGGTGAACAGCTATGCTTTCTTCTCACAGAAAGCCAGAGCCCAGGCTGAAGCTAGTGTTCTTGGAATGCCTCGAGCTAAACAGCTGGGAAAGCGGACCAGAAGAAGAACGCAGCTTCCTAAGAGCATGCTGGGAAGTGAGCCAGCTTGGCTGGCTGACACTTGTTGCCATGCATGCAATTGAATTTTCCCAGAATGCCTCAAGACCTGTAGGAGAATGCCACTTGGAGCCTGGTATGGGAGTCAAGATTCAACTGAAGAGACTGAAGAGTGGGCCAAGGGAAAAGAGCATGGGGCAGCACTTACCGGCAGGCGTGATGGAGGGGAAGGTGTGTCTCGGTCTGTGTGAGCCTCTGCAGCTCTGGAGGGGTCAGCTGTCCATAGTGGGAGGGATGTGCTGGTCCCAGGGTCCACGGGAGGACTGGCAGGAAGGATCCAGATCAGCAGATGCCTGGGATTCAGAAATTCTATCCCTTGGGTGAAACAGGATCTCTCTGGCCCTCTCTCTGTGTGGAAGAAGATCAAGAGAGAATATCCAGCTCTGCTGGGCGAGCAGGGTGCAGTCTGCAGGGGCAGGGCACAGGGTGAACTGGGGTAAGGGCAACCAGCAGCTTCGTTATGGAAGGCATACACATCACCTATTTACCCTGAAGCTGAATTAGTCATTAATTTGGGATATTTCCTAAAGCTGGTGATAACAAGCAGGTGATGGAGTTAGGCAGTGGTACTGGGTCTCTCCACGTGAATGCTAGCTGCCAGGAGACCTTGCTATGAGAGGGTTTAGGGAGTAAACCTAAGTTGTTACTGTTGTTGTTGTTATGTGTGTTTGTATGATATGTGAATGTGTGTCTGTGTTTGTGAGTCAGAAGTTGGTTCTGGCCTTCTGCTGTGGGCTCCTTGGACTGAGCTCAAGGCTTACATGAGGCAAGCGATTGTGGGGGTTCTTTGAGATGAGCAGATGTAAAAATCGTCTTTCTTCAGTCAGTAGGATAAAGTCCTTTACAGTGTATCAGGAAGGCTCAGCTGTCGGTTCTTGACTTTGATCTCCAGAATGGCATCCATGTCCTGATGGTGACAGAGAAAAGGCCTTGTCTAGTTTGCTGGACACTAAGGGCCCAAGAGAGATGTGAACACTGGGTATAGAAACAGACAGACCAACTGCTGTTGGTGGCACTTAGGGTCATCACCAAGTTGAGAACACAGCCTGCACACTCCCCTCCTGCCTCTGACCCAGGCCTCCTGCCATACTTTGCATGTAATGTAACTTGGTGTCAAGTGTCCCTCCTTCTCTCGGTCTAGTCAGGCTATGGCATGGCTCACCAGTGATACCGGGGTTCCTCTTTTCCTGTGAGAGTCTGGGCTCCATCTGGATGCGATTCATCTGCTCTTATCTGGAAAATTCATTCAGATTTTAGTCTACCAGGGGTGGTGAAGGGCTGGAGACTGTGGCAACTTATTAATTGGCTACATTTTCATTTATTCAAACTGGCCGTGTTGGCTAAAGTTCTCCAGAGGAAGAGAACAAACTGAATGTAAATGTATCTCTAAGAGGAGGGGCCTTATTAACTTTAAGAGGGACTTTGTTAGATTGGCTTGCACAAATCAGAGGTTGACTGGTCCCCCCATGTCTGACTACAGACTGGAGATCTGGGGAGAGCAGTAGCTGCTCCAAGAATCTAGAAGCCTCAGGACAGGAGAGACCAATGATGCAGCCCCAGTCCCAGACTGAGGGCTTAGAAACCCCCCAGAGCATCACCAGGGCAACCCTCTCTTCAAAAACTGAAGAATGTGGAGCTTGATGACCACAGGTGACATCAGCTAATGACACACCCATTCAAGAAGGGTCAAGTGGGCGTGTGCTAGTGAGCTCCCCTTTCTGCCTCCAGCCTACTAGACGGTGCCACCCGCTTTTGGAGCAGGGCTTTGCGTCTGGGTTCACGGACCCGCACGCCCACTGTTTTTGGAAGCATCCTCACAGACGTACCTGGAAGTGTGCTTCTCCAGTTTTCTTAGGCATCTTTAGTCCAGGTGATAACTAAGATAAGCCATCACATTAATTACTGGATGTAGATACTGGGCTGGATGTTTGAGTAAGAAGTAGCACAAACCTGAAGTCCTTTCAAGGTGCTGATGGTCCAGAGGGCATCCCAACAGAAACATCAGTTTTCTACTGAAGAGATGGGTACCATTTCACCGATGACCTCAAAGGGACCTGCTCACCCTAGCCAAGCACCATTGGAATAACAGCTGAATAAAAGGAGAGAATAGAGACCCCATGAGGAGCAGACTTTCTATGGAGGAAGAAACCCCCACCTTTCTCATTTCTTATGTCTTCTCTACTCTCTACTTTTTTTTTTTTTAAATCTTGTTAAAAGAATCAATTGAAAAAAAAAAACCATGAAAATATTTGAATTGCATGCGCAAACACATTCCCAGGGAAAATCCATAGGAGACAGCCTGGAGCTGATCACAGCCCTCGCGGAACACGATCCCCAGCTGTTAATATTTCAAGCACTTACAATCAGCAAATACAGAGTCTAATGCTCTGCCTGTGTCAGTTCATTGAGTCCCAGCGTAAAAGGAGCGCTTTCTAGTGTTATTCCAGCTTTACACATGGGGAAACTGAGTCACCAGAGAAGTTCAGTTGCTCAAGGTTTGGAGACAGCAGAGCTGTATTGGGAATACAGGCTTGAGGACACCAGCTCTGTGATCGTGGTCTGAAATCATGAACTGCAGCAAGGGCAGCAGGTGGTTGTGGGGCAGAAATGGGGAGCTAAGTGTGCCTGAGGGAGGCAGTGAGAGATCCTTTGCAAGTGTTCATTTGAGTTGGGGTAAAAGTGATCCAGTTGGAGAAAAGGGTGCAGGAAGGAAGGTGTTCCACAGAGAGCAGAGAGTTTGAGGGTGATGCAGTTAAAGCCCAGAAGAGCATTCTCTTGTGACACAAGTGTGGAGCAGAGGAAGGAAGGTGTGTATTCTGGAGTGCTGGTGTGAATGAGAATGACCCCCATAGGCTCATGTGTTTGAATATGTGGCCCTCAGTTGGTGGAACTGTTTGGGAAGGATTAGGAGGCATGGCTTTGTTGGAGAAGGTGTGTCACAGTGGGTGGGCTTTGAGATTTTAAGACTCCCACCATCCCCAGTATTTTTCCACCCTCTGCCCCCTTTTCTCTCTGCCTCTTTCTTGTGGATTGAGGTGTAGGCTCTCAACTGTTCCTGCAGCTATGCCTTCGCTCTGCCATCATGGACTTCAACACTGTAAAACTGTAAGCCTTATTAAGTGCTTTCTTTTGTAAGTTGCCTTGGTCATGCTGTTTTGCCACAGCCACAGAAAACTAAGACAGGTGGGTGGCATCTACACAGGCTACCACATACTCAAGACTGATGGCTTGGGCTTTCTACCAACTAGAATGACTGCTGGCAACTACATAACTTGACTGAACCTGAGTCTGGAAGACCAGGGAGGAAGGAGTTGAGATCCAAGAGGCAGGTCATTCACACCTGGGAAGGGTGTGTCTTTGTCGGTGTTGTTGCCATCATCAGCATCATCTCATCCAGAGGAAGCCTTTTTGCAAAGTCCAATATTTATAATAGGTGAATGAAGGAGAGAATCCTGAGTCCTGCCTGCTTGGCCTCCTGGTTCCCTATTCCTTGGTGTTTGGCCCGCTTCTCAGAACACATTCTTCCCAGTGACAATGTCATGGCTGTTTCCAGTGTGGCCTGGGTGAGAAGTCTGACCTCCTTGATCACATTGCCCCTCCACATCTGGATATATCTTCTGTTGTCTTTTCTGCAGTAAGCAGACAAGTAACGTGGTCCCATTTTGTGCTTTCCTGAGAACCTGATCTCCTTGCTCTCCACACTGACCTCTGGATCTTTTACCGTCCTCATCCCTGGAGCAGGGCCAGAGGCCCAGTGCCTCTGTCTGACCAATTGGACACTGAGCCATGAAAAACGAACTCCCATATCAGATCCTGAGACCTCTCGGGCTTCCATCTAGGCTTGGCCTTCTGATCCAAACTCTAGTTCTCCAGTTTCTGGGGTAAAGGGAAGAGCAGTGTGCTTGAGAAGCCCCCATTACCCCAACTATTATGTTCTTGAATTAGACTTGGATAGGAAAGGGAGAGGAGGCCTGAGGGGAGGGGAGAGTGAGTCCAAAGGTGGAAGCCAACAGGAAATTGTTTTCTGCAAGGTCAGGGAAAAACTACCAGAACTGGATGTCAGGGTCACATTTCCATTTCTCCTGTTCAGGACCAGTATAGATGGGCTCCAATCACTCTGCATCTGGAGGCATTTGCACACCAAGTAGGTTCTTTGGATGTAGACATACGTGTGCTAAGCCCCTACTGTATGTCCTGGCACCGTGCTCAGTGTTGGCTGGCATGGAGGGAACAGAGGGAAGCAAAAAGCAAAAAGAGATAGGTCCGTGCCTGGGATTTAAATGCAGAAATAATATGAACAATTGCTACTGAGTCACAGAGGAGGAAGCTAAACACAGGAGGGGTGGGAAGATTTCATTTCTCAGGAGCAGCTGAAGTTGAGCCCAAGGATAGATGGGATCTCTCTGAGCGGAGAAGGAGTTTGTGTGCAGAGCAGAAGAAGGCAGACTGAGAAGGGTGTTCTGGGCATGCTTGAGGAGGGAAGGATGCACTTGAGCCTAGCTTCTCTGAAGAGATCCAAGCTCGGGAATCTCCAGCCTGCCTATGTAATCCAGTATCACAGACTCGAGAGCTCTGGACTCAGATAAGGCCCCAATTAGAATTCTAATGGTGTGGTCTTGGTGCTCGTCTTAGCTGTTCTGAGTCTCAAGCCTCCAACGCTGAAGGGAATTTGCTCTCTTCCTGGGTGTTTTTTTTTTTTTTTTTTTTATGACTTGAGGCTGAAAAAAGTAATGAGGTCACAGGTAGTTATCCGTGAGCTCTGTTTCTGCTTCTGCCATGAATCACAGGATCTGAGACTGGGAATTTGGGATGGTCCGCTTCAGCCCTTTCTCAGTGTGGAAGCTCCTCTGCAATCTCATGGCCGGGTGCTGTCCCCTGTGTAACAAACACAGCAGCCTGGGCCACAGTCAGGAGCCCGGTAACCTCTATGACAGCCATCACTACATTCACCTTTTGCTAAAGAGGGGATGGGAAGGCAAAGAGTTGAGAACAGTGGCCACTGACTATTGATACAGGGTAGGAAGGACCTTATAAAATCATTGATACAATTCCTGATTTGTACAGACACAGGGGGGCTGTGACTCGCCCAAACTCACCCCGTGAGTTTCAGGCAGTGTTCTTTTCCATTTCCCAGAAGACTTTGGCTTAGCTGCCTGCAGTCTAGTGACCAGCTCAGGGCAACTGACCAGTCTTTGCAAGCTCTACCTCAGGATGTGGAGGCTGCATCCCTGGATATACTGCGTGCCCCTCTTATCATGAATCCTGCCATACAACCAACCAGGCAGTGTGGAATGGGCCAGGCAATGCAGAGTGTTGTGTCTGGTATGTGGTCCCTGCATAGTCAAGGAGCCTGGGGCAGAGGGACAGAGTACAGTAGGCTGGTGGGTCAAAATGTCGGAGTAGCTGGCAGAAATTTTAGAAAGGAGATTATGTTGAGGAACCTTAAAATTGTTACTTTAACTAAGAATTTAGTATTGGGGGGTAGCTGGGCACAAGTAGCTCTCTTCACCATCCAGGTCCCCAAAGATGCTAGTGTGTATACATCAGTACAGGAGGGTCACTTGGGAATATCTCTGTGATAGCACTCCTATTTCATCTAAGAAAAGGACAAGATAGAGCCTTGTGCTGGAGGACCTGGCCACTGCAAAGTCCCCAGATGTAGGCTCAAACCCTAGGGTCAGAGAAAGGCTAGTATGGCTTGGAAGAGGCTGTTGGCTGTGTAAGGTGGCCCAGCTCTGGGGAGAAATGTCTCCAGACCCTAGGGACCATGCAGATCGTGGCATCCTGCCTACCTCCATCTTGTCCAGTCAGGCTCTACCAGGTGGAGCCTCAGTGGTATTGGCTTAGAAGTGAGA